AAAGATGATGTTTATGGTTGTTCTAATGTCCTATCAGGTGTTGTAATTATAGCAGACATATTATTTATACTATTGCTATTAGTTGGCCTTTGGTCCACTGGAATAGACATGTTCAATATATGAGCTTTGGATTCAATACAATATGATCTTAAATAAGTTATAAAACTAACAACACTGCCATTGGCCAAAAGTCACTCTATCCGATAATCAATCAATAAATAAACACTGAGCTATGGTTTTGGCTCCCCGTCCATGTAGTTCCAACAAACAAGAAACATTTCGCACACCTTTCCCATTCCCCTATTAACAGAAACAATTACAATGTAGTATGGGGAAAGGTGTTTACAAAGCGAGATAACTCGTCTACAAACCAAACGACGATTCTTCTATTGGCCTACAAACTATTGAAATAAAATATATAATGCACACCCCTTCTCATCTTCTAGTAAATCTAATCCTCTCTTCTATGACATTTCCAGTGTCCTTAATTTCCCCTTTTTGATAAGATTCTATGTTTACTTGCAAATGGAGTCATTATTTTTCATCCGTCTCCCGGACACACATTTTTAAAAATACAAGACAACTTTGACCACTTTTTGTATTACTCTTGTCTGGACAATGTCAAAGATAACTCGGATCAAGACTCAAATTTTGTAAACAAATTGAAAGTAGACGGTTGTCCATTGAAGTCATTTTAGGCCTAATTTCAATCTTCTTATCCCCTTTCACAACCAGTTGAACAGATCACATCGATCAATAAGTAAAAAGTGGTCTGTCCTGATTTCATATAGCCTAGATCTAGGCCTAATTAATTTAATCAATAACAATAACATTCTAACGCACCGAAACGGGCGCCAGGGAGTTGTATTATGGACTTACTCCACTTTCATTTAACATCTCTTCCCATATTAAAACACGAAATTCAACCTTCTATAACTTTTTCCAAAAATCATGTTGAAAGCTTTCCAATAAGTCGAATAAAAGCCTAACCAATCCTTAATGTATCCTAAAAAATTCAATTAATTATGATGACCATGAGTATTTGGAGCTACTGAAAACTACTACCGGTTACATGTATACTCATCCGCTAGAGTTTGGCAGTTCACAAAACAACAATTTTTAGAAATAGCCTTCCGCCTTAAGGTTTCTCAGCATCTCACCAAATCTTAAAGATAATGCAATTTCAGACATCAAATTCCAAATCTAGACCAAAAATTAGTCAAAAATAGACATGCAAAAACCCCCAAAGAGAGAGAGAAAGATGATTTTTAAAAATACCATGGACTACATTCCTATACAATCAACACAAACAAAAAAAATATCCATTTTTTGCACTAATTGTTTTTAATTAGCTTTTAAGTGATGTACCATGAGCCTGGGCCCTAATTAGAAGGAAAAGTCCCAAACAT